CAACCGAAATAAGACTAATCCCGCGATGATTTGCACATGAAGTACGAGCGCCTTTCTTGAAAATCGGGGCAATAACTGAATCGCCCCAAGAGGAAGGCACTTTCTCTTCATGCCAAATTTTTGCGAACAGCGCGGTTAGCTGGTTAATGATCGCCACACCGCCGTACTTGAATAGTTCCGGAGGAAGTCCGTCTAAGCCGGCAGCCTTGAAGCGCTTCAAGCGTCGAATCTCTAGGCAGACTTCCGCTTCGCTGGGTGGATTCAGTGGGACGAGCCAGGGTGGACAATAACGTGTACTGCATGTACTGATGGATGGTGGAGGCCAGTTGAACTGCGAGTGAAATTGCTCGTTCCAGCGGTCCATACGCCTCTGTTGGTTGGTGATCGGAGACTCATCCACCTCACAAATGACCTCACTCACACCATGCTTCCTGAGGCCAGTGGACCGAATGAGTTGGAAAAGCCTGCGAATGTTGTCAGAGAAGGCAGCGGTCTCCATCACTAAAACATGCTCAAACCACCATGTCTCGGGATCCTTGTGTAGGCTTTGCTTGAGCAGCCGGTTGGTAGAACGGCGCCGCTCGTTGCGATCTGATTCCGCGGGGATATCTTTGCGGCGTTCGAACAGCTCCAGAGAACGAGCAGAGATCCAAGACTTCAAAGAGCGTCGAGTTAGACCGCAGCATGACTGTCCGGAAATGGTCATCGCTTTCTGTATACAAGTCCAGTGTTGTTCCACTTCTTGCGGTGGATTGCAACTGAGTGCATATGCCACTGAAGACTGATAGCTCGCTTGGACAGAGGAATCAGTTAATCTGTTTACATGAATCTTGCGGTGCTTCGTGTTTCGGGATCCTCCAAAACGCATACAGATCTTCGCGCAGACCAGAGCATGATTTGATTCAACGAAAGTGGACCAAAAGTACCTGCAGTCCAGTACGCTGCCGCGCCATCTGAAGCTAATTGCAATGTGATCAATTTGTGACCACGATTGTGTTGAAGAAGGGGGACGTCACGTTGCGCAACGCTTCTTCGTACGCCTGAAGTTAGTGCTCAAAAGAAACAGACGGTTGTCTTCGCACAATGTGAGAAGTCTCTCTCTGTTATCAGAGCGGTTCTCATCCAGCGCGTGATGACCACCAAGGGAGCGTTCGTATGGTAACAGGCGCCCAACCCGTGCGTTAAAATCCCCGGCAAGGATAACGACATCCGACTTTTTAGCATTAGTCAAGAGCTGATGTAGATCCCGGTAGAATTCGTCCTTGACAGAGTCGCCACTGCAGTCATTTGGAGCGTACACGGAGATCACAAACAAGTTGCGTCTCTCTTCACGTTGCCAGTTGATTCTGCATGAACCCTGAAGCCGAGCTGCACATAGTCGGCTGTTAATAGGGAACCAGTCCAGTAGTGCCGCTTCGGCCTTGCCACTCAGTGCTATACCTACACCAGCCAAACCCGCTGAGGCTGCTTCTGGATCTCCAGAAAGACGCAGGTGATATCTGGCTTCATGGTCAATGGGGGATGTCAATGTAAGCACAGTGCTGGGATCTTGCAATCGGGTTTCTGAAAGGCAGCAGACATCAACGTCTAGGGAATCTAGGGTGCGCGCTAGACCGGCTTGCTGTCCAATCTGCATGAGTGTCCGAACGTTGAAGCGCGCCAGACGGAACGAGGATCGGGGACGAAGGAGAGCCATAGGTTGAATTCCTTGATCTGAGGAGCAACCGGAATCGCAGCCAGATTGTTGAACAGATGAATCAGGTAACCGAAAGTGGGGATTGTTAGCAAACAAACAATTGGCGTGTGATGAAGTCGCGTGAAAGTGAGTAGCAGGAACAGTAGCTGATGAGCGCGTTGTAGTGAAGTCCATGGTTTTGTGAGAGGGCGTGATACCACCCGGTTGCCCAAGCCGAAGTAGGGAGTTGACTTAGGGGACTCCACCCCGAGCCTTTGGCTAAATAACCTACCCGCAAGGCAGCAGGGCGAATTTAGGGAATCGCGCCCATTGGGAGGCGTTGACTGAATGTTCAGTTCATGCGTCTTTGTTTGGTAGATTACCAAACAGGGGCCCAATACTCCCCATGAAGTCAGCACACTTGCTGGAATACAATGACCCACAGAGGTGGAACATTCGCCGAACACTGCTGGAACGGGGTACATCCGAACCACCCAGCTGGCACCAAGAGAAGGTAGTTCAGCAAGCCAGCTGCTTTCGATTTACTAACCGCGTGCTTGCATGCTAAGTCTCTTTATTTCAGGTGGTGGGTTTTTAATTTTCTTCTAATGCTTTTCTTTCTCATTTTAATATCTACCTGTAGTATCTTCTATAAACTTGCACACGTCACTGGAGCTAACTGTAGGTAAGTTCGATAACCTTTTCGCGTTTGTGGCATTTTTAAGATCTGTTTTCCGACCTCTTGAACTTAGTGAGGATTCATACGTAACCAATTTCTTTTATAAGCCCATTTAGTGAAGAGTTATGTCAACGTATATGTATGCATTATCAGATTTATTTTTATTTCATCTTGTCGGTGCAAGTGATTGGTTGTTGCTTGATATCCCCATGTGGCTGCACTTGATGTGCATGTTGACAAGGTGCCTACCTGTCTATTACCCACTATCTCGTCCATACTGGCTCTAGGAGACAGTTGGTCATTGCTGGAGGGGACGGAGTGCACGGTCCTTGTGGCCGTGTTAGGATCAAAGAGTGGTTCCATGCACTCAGTGTGGAGCGGACTACGCTCCAGCCACCGCCTTGTGTGCGCTTGATTCCCAAATACAGCGTGCTTGTGTTTGCGTGTGAAGTAGTGTGGGCCGGCTCCGTTGATGAAACGTGGCTCCCATCCACATGCCTCCCGGTCTTATTCCTTCGTGTTTACACTGGATATGGGGTGTGTGGTTGGAGCTGTGGGTGGTGCAGCGCAAGCCATCCATGGTCCCTTTGTAAGCGCAGGCAAATCCGAAACTGGATGCCGCCAACGATATATATATATATATATATATATATATATATATATATATATATATATATATATATATATATAGATAGATAGATAGCAAAATCTGTGTAAAGATTTTGTGTCAACGGAACCATGGTGGGATGGGAAAAAGGAAGAGAAAATAAGTAAGAAAGCAAAACATATTGTCCATTGCCCCACTCACCGTTTTTGTTTACTTTTTTGGGGGGATGGGAAGAGGAATAACCGCAAGTAGCAGATATACACGAACCGCCACTGAGTTCGGTGTTGAGCCACGATTTTCAAGGTTACTAACCAGCGGTTCTCAACATGTTTGCAATAATATCCAGAGACTCGAGAGGAACCAACCGAGGCCAGTTGTTTTGTCAGCTTTTTCATCTTGCTTCTCAAGTTTTAGGCTGTGCACTGCACCGCCTGCTCCAGCCCTGTCCAGCCATCGCGGACAATGCACGACATGGAAGACGCTGAACGGGCATACGCCATAAGTGTGAAAGCCATCCTAGTTGGCACAACGAGACAAGCGCCTCGTGGGAGTGGAAACCTCATCCAGAATTGATCAGATGGTCGGTTATTAAACTCAAAGTGCTTCTGCCTCTTATGTTGCTGAGAGAATCTGATAGAGGTTCCTTGATTCACTTTCCCAAACGCCTGGCCGTACGTCCAATGTACCTTCCTTTGTAGGTGCTGTACACGCGCAACCTGGAAGCCTCGCTAGATGAATTTCAGACAGAAGGAGACACTATCCGGCCTACCGAATTCATGGAAACTGTGTTCATTGGAAACGACCTGCAAGGCGTGGAGTTACTTCCAGGTGAACAGCTTCCTGAATTGGAGTACGCCGTTGACATTCCCCTTATCAGTGACAGCTTTGAAACTTGCCAAGTGGCACTGGACAGATTAGCACTATCTGTCCGTCGTCTTTGCCTATGCTTTGCACCTTCGTGATGCAAAGTCCTCATTCAAGGTTGACAGGGACCTACACCAGTCTTGACCCTTGTGGGGATCAGCAAGAAGTCGTCGAGAAATTCAAGTATTTAGGCAGCTAAATCAGCCCCAACGGAACGGAAAATGAGATCAGAAACCACATAACTAGTCTTGAGGCGCTTTTGCCAATCTCCGCGCTGGCGCTGGCGCGATATCACTCTGGCCCTGAAACGCGGTTTACAATGAAGCCTTTCGTTCAGCGCTACTGTATGGTTGCAAAACCTGGTCATCAATTTTGCAGACATTAAAAGGCTACTCAGGTTCCATCATCGCTGCCTCCGCAGTTTAGCTCATGTCTGGTGGGAGTACCGCGTGAGTAATCAGCGTGCTCGGCGTCGCGTATTTGGTGCAGGAAGAGCGAGTGAACCGCTCAGCTCCAGTATATAACGCACCAGGCTCCGATGCCTTGGTCACATGCTGCGCATGCCAAGACACCGACTCCCGCGACGTGCATCTTTGTGCGCGCCCGGGATCTAGATGGAAGAAGAGGAGGAGTGGCCAACCGATGACTTGGTCAAGAGGAATGAAATCTGTCACTTCGACTTCGGCGTAGCTTGGTGTCTCACGACTGCGTAGCTGAGCTCCGAAGGACGATGAACACGTTTGATTGAATACACTAGTTGACATGGCAAGGAGCCGAGCTCAATAGGTTTGTGTTGTGAGTTTCGTTGTCACCCCTTATTCCGCTTATCTTCCCCCTCCAACTTCGATCTCCCTCTTGACGCATAATACATTTCTAAGTAGCCTGTCACCTGTTTTTTTACATTCTATACTTTTCAGTATCGTGCATTTTTGGTGGTCTTCCATGTAGGTATTGCGACACAATTATTGAAGTATATCTCAACTTCAGCTTATGTGTAATGGTGAGGATGATGCTTAGTACTGAATTCGATTGCTATAGGTCACTTTTTGTATTACACTGTAGATTCCACACTCCTCAAGTACAATTGGATAACGTCCTCGCCCGTCGGGTAGATCAATGCTGTCTGTAGCAATTGTTGACGTTTCAGGTCAATCATGGTTAACTTTTTGTTATAGATCTCATAAACTGATACTTGAACAGTGGGAGGATGGTATCTGGCATACCCGGCACAGGACGCATAATTTGCGTGCTTTTCTGCATCTGCCTGAATTGCTCAATTTGCCATGGTAAGTGGTGGATTTAATTATCGATATCCCACCCGTGTTTCATATGTGGAAATCAATAAACAATTTATCAGAGTTCAAGGCAACCGCTGATAATAAGCGAACCAGGGTGCCCAGTTAACTTGAGGACAACTGGAAGCGCATGAGATCGCATAAAAGATGACGGATGGGGAAGTCCTGGTTCATGGAAACGGTGTGGCATACCACTCACGAACTAAATAAATAAAGATTTATTCTCGGTCGTGCAAGACACGCCCATCTAAGCATGATCAGGAAATCACAGACGTATACAAAACCTCAAACAAGGGATGATTCGGAGAATATATAGATAACAAATCAATTTTAGGTTTAGAGATAGAAAGGGAGGACACGACAGACCCAAGGCAACAAAGGAAGTATAGTAAGAAATATCCAATGAAGTACTACGATCGTCCGTAGAAACCGCCTCCATGGGATCCATATCCATGCGGGATGGTTCCACGAAAGGTTTTACCCGTACTCCAACAACCCATCTGTTTGTGTGTTGGCGTGAGGTAAAGCAGGTTAGGCAGAATCTATATTATTATACATTCGGGCGTTTTGTTGTTGTTTTTTAAATTTTCCACAAGTTGGTTACTTAAGCCAATCACCCGTTTGGCAATGATTGATTTTAATGGATATGATAGCCGAATTCAACTGATTTGCGGTATATGCCACAAATTCGTAACCAGCAGTTTAGAATGTACTGTTGTCTTTGTTTTCCCATAGATGGAAAACACTCTTAACATACATCAGTGGGTAGTTGGCTGTCCGCCTTGCGTGGGAGGACATTCTGTCTGGAAGCTTCAAACCATCATTTAAGGAGTTTGACCTAGTCGTGACCAACAAACGAAAAGTAAAATAACCGAAGAAACTAAAAAAACAGAAATAACGATAAAGACTTAAACAAATTGCATGTCTCCTGACAGCGTAGAAAGATACAGTGTCGGTTTGTCAGTTAACTTTTTGCACAAGCGAAGAAAAACAGCTTAGTCTTCAACTTGTTAAGTGGAATGACAATTCCTGAGCAAGGTTACACAGCGACGGAACAGTTCTAGACGAAAGAAAAGCGGTGATACTGATGTTATACATGTGCTGAAAATCGGTGGTTTTTCTGAGTGAGTTCCACTGGAAAGGTAAATCCACTGGGATTACACAAATTGGTTAAAGAAACTAGACGCAAAGTAAGGCCAGAAAGAGGTTCAGAAAGAAAGGCACAGTGCATCTCCGAACCAGTGTATCAAGGGAGAAGACAATATTGGCTAGACAAGGGAGTGGATGATGGCAGAAAAGTTTTTTGTAAGAATAACATAGTGTTCAAATACAAGCCGAGAAATTTATCCATACATTGGTTAGAAAATGCAATATTGATGCACTGATGAGAAATGGCAACTTTCACGTGTATCCAGGACCTTTTTCACTCAAAGCAACTAGAGTCATCTCTTGGCTGAATGTTGTCATCATCATCATCATCATCATCATCATCATCATCCATCATCATCATCTTCATCACAACAGCAGTGCATCAGCCATTTGAAATGCTGCTTCCCTGCTATACAACGATGATGACCTAGGAAATAAAGAATAATAAGAAGGAGAGAAGACTGATTTACCTGAAAACCTTAATGCCCTAAGCAAACATTCGGAGTCAAGGCGCCTATACCTTATGTAGACAACATCCGGTCACAAACAACAAAGATAAAGCGACTTTCACTGCCTCGCAGATAACACAGCACCAAACACAGCATCAGAACACATGTTAGCAAACAAGCGCATTTCAGTGGTTTCTCATCGGGCTAATACACCACAAATAAAGGACATGAACGTAAGCATCAGATAAGGGTACAAGTTCAAACCCCAGGTGACCTGAGTGACCAAGCTAGGTGATTGGCCCCACGAAGATCAACAGTGTGTGTGTGTGTTTCGTTGTCCACACTACGAGACAATAGCAGACGCGTCACTGGTGCCGGTTGCGAGCCATGTCCTGTCAGGTCTCGAGCCTAACACAAGGTGAGTCACGTGGACTCCAGCCCGGGAGGTCGAGACGGACCGACGGGATCCAGTTTGGTAGTCAGTGACTTCGTTTCCCGCTGCCAAGTCAAGTTCTGTCCGCCTCGAGCCTGGCACCTCCCTACACCTGGCGAAGTAAAGAAGACCCTCCTAGATAAGCGGTGACAAGGCATACGTAACACGTGGCCAAGCCAACGCAACACATTGTAGGGCGATCTGTTGTTCTAGGGAGCTCGCATGAGTATCACTACCTAGTACTTGCCTACGCACATGATCGTTGCGGACATGCTGGTGCCATCCGACACGAGCAATGCTTCGCAGACAACGATGATCAATGGCTTGAATACGTCTCAGATCTTCAGATCTAAGGGGCCAAGTTTCACTACCATAGAGCAGGACAGCTCTTACTGTGGTCCTGTATACACGGCCTTTCAGACGGAGGGAAACCCTTCTGTTGCCAAAGATGCCGCAGGTTAAAGAAGGCAACTCTGGCCTTTGCAATGCGTAAGCTGACGTCAGTTTCTATGCGCCCATGATTGCTGATGTACCTGCCAAGGTAAGTAAATCGATCGACCACCTCGAGTTCCTCGTTAGCAAGCGTCAAGGGGTCATCAAGTGGCCGGCGGTTCTGCAGCAATACTGCACTTTGAAGGCGGGAAGCGCATGCCAAATAATTGGGCCACTCTAGGCAGGCTATTCAGGGTCGACTGTGCCGCCGCAACGTCGTCGAAAAGCATGAGGATATCGTCTGCATAATCAAGCTCAGCTAACCTTCCACCAGGCAGCACTTCAATCCCTACATCGTGAGATTCCGCAAAGAAACACTGCATGATAGAGCCCACGACGAAATTGAACAAAAATGAGGAAATCAGACAACCCTGACGAACGCCAATTAGTGTCGGAAAGCTATCCGACAGGTCACCGTAGACCCTGACGCGGCCTGTAGTGTTAGAGTATAGAGCACGTGAGATGTTCATATATTTCGTGGGAACACATTTCCGAACAAGTATTTCGAACAGAATCGACTGATCCACTGAATCGAACGTCCTCTTGAAATCAAAGAACACAGTTATTATGGGTCTGCGGTATGCATAGCGCTGCTCTAGCACCTGCCGCAGAGTGAATCTATGGTCTATACATCCATAACAATAATAACAATAATAATAATATGTCAAATGTACGCCGTAACGGCGCCACGCTGCCGCTCGACCACCACCAGTCGCGCGCGGGCTGGGTATACTGCGAGGATGCCCACTCTTACACGGATTCTAACCGGAGACTTTATGGTTGCAAACCAGGTGTGCAGACCGCTCAGCCACCGACGGACCTATGCAGCCACGTCCTGGGCGGAAACCTGTCTGTTCTTTCCTAATCCGAGATTCCCGTTCCACAGTGGGGCGATGAACGAGAACCGAGTCCTGTAATTTTGTCACAACTGGCGTTAGCCTAATACCTTTGTGGTTAGAACAGTCCGTGTGACTGCCTTTCTTGTATATTGCTACTATGATCGATTCGCTCCGAACAGCCGGGACACTTGCTTCCAGATGTGTTCGAATAAAGAGGTCAGTGCTTTGCAGAGGATTTCACCTCCATCCTTAAATAGCGCAGATGGGAGGGAATCCTGGCCAGCGGTACGAAAACGATTGATGGCTGTGATCGCGTTTTAGGCCTCTGCCTCCGACGGAGGCTCTTAACTAACCGTCCATGTCTCGTATTGTATCAACTGAGTAGGAAGAGATTTGGGAGCAGAGAGCCAGCTGAACTGATCTTGAAAATGTTCCGCCCAACGAGCCATACGGCGCTCCTTAATGTGCCACGGTGCCACCTCGCTGTATCTGATTGTCTCACTGACACCTGGTTTCCTGGGACCAGTGGTGCGGATCACCTAGAAGAGCTTGCGGTAATTGTCTACTGATCATGCCTCCGCCATTTCTTGAGCCCAACTGGTCCACCAGGCATCCTTGTCAACATGTTTGCTCCACTTTAGCTCGGGTCTAGTAGCCCGTCTGGTCACATTTTGCTCAGAGCCAGCCGGGAGGTTTCTTCTGTATTCCAACAGGTTCACCTACCTCTCGGATATCCAGTGACTAGTGCAGTAACGATTGATAGTGCCACAAGCAGATGCTCCTGCGTTGTGCATGGCGGTGGAGTGTTGACAAAATAGTTGAAACAGTCAGGTGGAATTTGGTCATTCGTTTAATCTTGCAGATAGGTAGGACAATCGTGATATTCAACATGAGTTTATTTCATAACAATGGATATTTACTGAGAAGAAATTGAAATGGAGCTTGGTACAAGACTGTTGTATATGTGGTATGCGCTCATTGTTTTTAGTGCATCTCACTTAAGAGTCTAAAACTTGAGTGGTTGATCTGTCAAGCCTAATCCGAGAGTTAAAAGGTAGAAAAGTTATTTATTGGACTTAAGTCTGCGCAGCCATATCGGCTCTAGTTTTAGATCATCGCAGCTATCAGGGAGAGTCATAATGTTAACCATGCTCAAAAATCGCTTTATGAAGGTCTTTGGATATTTCCCAGAGTTATGATGTCTAATTTTCTCAAATTCCCGTACATAACCGCACCGCATTCAGGTTTCGATCTAACACACATTTTGAAGGCTTGAAGCATGAAATCTGTCAAGACAATAGTTCTGCTTATTCGCTAGGCCGATCCATTAAATTTCTGTGCACTGTAGGCGGGGCGTGCAAGTAAGAATTGCTCACAGTTACGCTGAACGGGCAAGCCTACGCGATAGATGCGGGCGCAGGAGACGGGGATATTGACCAAGCGCTTTATGGTGACGTCAAGATAGTGGTTACAGATGTTGGGTGAATCGCGTGTCGACGTCTAGCGCGATATCGGGAGCGGGCGATGAATGCGGTAGGGGACGAGTTGCATATTCCTCGTTGGACGCACCTGAATGTGGTGTGAGAAGTGGAAAGAGTATTGGGCGTCTGCGGAAAAGCAGCGGGCGAA